CAATTTCTTAAGACTATATATGCTTCTATGGTCAGAGGTTTGGTTTTGTTACAGGAGAGATCTGCTTATTATATTGCATTACTGCCTTCCATTAGAATATTTAAGTCGTGGAATCGAATGACTCTGAGTGTTACTCCATGCGCAGCTAATTTTTTCGGCCTGAGTTTAAGGCTTGAAATACTAATTTTTAAAGAGCACTATGTATTTCTTCATGAGAGGTTTATGGTTTCCAYAGCAGGATTTAGTGTTCTTTCGCAGCTCCCTCTTGCTTCCCAGTTGTGCTGTTGGTTATGATTTGAGGAATAGCAAGGTGTTYACTTCTCTGCCTGGAGACAAATGCAAAGACCAGAGAAGACACGGGAACAGTTTTGATGTTCATTTTGAACCTTACCAAGGTGATACGTTAATGTTTTAGGGCTTTTTATATCTCTATTGTGGGTGAAGCTCACTCACTCCCTCAAACTGTCAAACTCATGACCAATATCTGGCAACTGCAATTAGCTCCACTCAGGGCACGAGAGCTTCTCAGACTGTAACAAGGTCTCCCAGGAGCACTTGCACCACAAATAGTGTACTCATATTTTCTCATTAGTTCCCTTCAGTTGCCACAAATACAATTTTCCAATGTTTTCAGGTTTAGATCAAAAATACAGTAGCTCTGTGTGTATACACACACACACATGCACACACATTCATAGCTAAAATATATATATGTATACAGATATATATATATGAAAATACAATTATTTCTCATAACTCAAGGATTATCTTTTCTTAGGTAGAAGCCCACAGCCTACTTCATTAACCTAAAGTTTTCATTCAGGTGAAGGAACGTAGGATGAAGAGAAGAAAATGACAGGGTTTCAAATGGGTTATTTTTTGTAGTTTTTTTGAGTTTTATTCTTATTTTTGAGGTCTTGCATTTTGGGAAGTCATTAACCTTGACTCTGAGAAATTATTGCACGTATTTATATGTAGGAAGTTACCAAGAAGAGGGACTTAACTTTGAAGTTGTCAATAGACRTGTCTGTGTTTCAGTCATGTAGTTTTGTGAACTTTTGAAGAGACTGTTGACAGAGAAGCTTTATACCAGTAAATCTCTGTACACTAAGTAATTTTCCATGTCTAGAGACCRGGTGGGAAGAGGAGTATACACAGGTACATGTTAGTGACAAATTTCTGTCATTTATGTAACCCAGGTGGAGAGCTTTCTCTTTATAGCAGTTGCAGAAAGTTGAGCAACATTCTAGTTATATTATTTTCACCTTGAGATCTTTTTAATTTTCAAAGAAGAAAGACATCTTCAGAAATTGTAACTGTATGAGGCAAGCTTTGGTTTATTAGTCTCTGAATATCATGAATTTTGGGATGTTTTCCATATGGATATGTTCAACATCACAGTGCTCATTTATGTTACATTTCTAGTTATCTTACAAGTTTTTGTGGTCTTTTAACTATTTTGAACAACAATATGTTGATATGTTTTTAGTTATATTCTTAATTTCCTGAATATTGTTTGATTGGCTGATTTATGTGAAACCAATTTGTGCTTTTTGCCTTTTTCTTGCTCCTGATTGCACTGTAAATTTCACAGTGTGTGGTATTAATTTCTTACTTTTAGAATCACATGCAATAAAACTAATTGCCTATCAGTCTATCAGAGAACAATATTCATAAAATATTGAGTAGCTCTAGGGAAAGCTTGGTGTAAGCRTTTATTAGATAATAGTTTCAGGTTTAATAAATAAGCTGTGTCTTCCTAAAATTTTTCATGTTCTCAGTGTTGATATTTTAATGTGTTATGTCGTTCTAAATGATTCTCATTTACAAAGTAAGAAGTGAAAAGATTGTAACTTTGGCCTGCTCTGATCCAGATATGGATATTAGCAAAGCTCTAACTAGAGTTCTATTTCTTTATTCCTTGACTCATTTTTGGTAATAAGTTACTTTGAGTGTAGAAATCTCTTTTCTTTCTGGAAGATTGTTTATATTTTAATACCTTTAACACATATGATAAAAACCTGCTCAGTAACTTTGTGTCAAGAGATTCTAGAAGTTCTGTCAGCCTTGGCACAGACCTGTTGCCACCATGTCCATGTTAATCCCTAGTAGAGAGGTGTCAGTCTCCACATTTTATGGGGCTCAGTTTTCCAATTTGCTCGCTTCTGTAATTTGTCACAGCTTTGAATTATAACTTTTATTCATTTATTTACTAGTATAATGCTGGGCTTTTTTTGGTTTTGGTTTTGGTTTTTTTTTTTGTTTTTTTTAGGTTAGGCTTCTTTGTTGTCTAATTTGGCAGCATCATAGGTACAAGTACTTCCAAAGATAGATATGACAGTAATCTGACATAATTTTGATGGATTTTTACAACAGAATTAAGATGATCCCTGCTTTCTAGAAAAGGTTAATTTGATTTTGTTCTTTTAACCTTTTTCTTTGCTGTCATGTTCAAGAAAGATTAAAAAGTAAAAGTAATAAATACACAACTACTCTTATTTGTCCTTATGTTGTAAAGAAGTCAGTTGTTACTAGCAATTATGTATTGTGTGACCCCCTATAGAGCAGAGACGAACAAGGCCATATAAAGTGTTTCTCATGACTGCAGCTTGATTTACATGGGGATGATCTAAAGAAAGAATAATAGAAATGAAAACTGGAGCTGGATTGACTAACACAAGGTATTAAAGCACACAAAAGGACATAAATTCAATATTTTAGCTATATATAATTATTTTTTTTTCTGAACTGGGTGTGTCATTGCCTCATTCTTTTAGATGTTAGGTGATTTTTGTATTTTCAAGAAAGAGAAAAACATGAGACAATCAAAGCATCATTTTTAAATCTTTTTTCTTTTTGTCTTCTTTAAAAAAAAATCTCTATTTAATGAATATAGCTGAAGATTGTGAAGGTTTTCTTTTCCTAGTAGGAGAAAGTGAACAGTATTTCATTTAGAACCAAGATGTCACTGAGAACAAGTCACTCAAGCCACATGAAAAAACTTTACCATTAGAGCTTGCACTATCTGGAAGGATTAAAGGATACAATTATAAGGGCCACACAGTCAAGTGCTTTTGCATTTCTGCAGATAATACAAATTTGACCCTGACTGATTGAAAAGGTGTGCAACTGAAGTTGTAGAGAAAATTAGGTAATCTTTTATGTCATCTTGACTGTCTTGTGGTGGTATTTTTAGACACTGATTGCTATATTTCAGTTTTGTTAGATAATTGTCTCTTAGCAAGTAAAAATAATTTGAAAACTTTTAGAGTCATTAGATACAATTTTCAAAATAATTTTCTAACACTCACAATTTTTATCCAAGGTAAGAAGTGCTTCATAATATCATTACCCTGCTAAATACATATGATATGCTAAATACATATGATAATTAGAAAAAGCTTCTTTTAAGCTCATGTCCATTGACTCTTCAGTTATATCTTATTTTCTGAAATGTCTAATGAAAATACGGTTAATAAAATATATTATAATGGTTTTCTGTTTGTTTATATTACCAGTAATAGCACTAAAATCTGATTATTAGGAAGCGTTTTTCTGGACTAAATAATAAAAAATATTTTCATTTGGCCTAGTTATCTTAATAAGCCAGTTAGCAAAGATGAGTATGTTCTTCTAACCTCCACCCAATGCTAAGAATTGAAAAAAAATTCTAAATGTCAGGCTCTCACAGTTTTCCAGGGTTGAAAACTTAAAATAGTGTTAAAGGAGCTGTGATTAAGGTAGTCAGTCAGAGGTGTGCTCTTTTATTAATAGTAGTGAATTTTCATTGTGTATTTTAGAAGAAGGAAGCAGAGAGATGACAAATAGATGTGGAGGAGTATTGTGGAGTTATTGTCTTATTGTAAGCTGTAAGAATTAGGTGGTTGCTTTTAAAATCCAAAATTGCCAGCTTGAACAGTTAAATCAGATTGGGAGATAATCTATTGGAGGTGGTAAGTGGAAGAAAAAGGTCACTGAGGATTTAGGTATGTTTCAAAAGTATGGCAAATTCAGCAATACTTATTTTCTTAGAAATTGGCAAGTAATTTAATTTTGTATACTATTCAAAGGTTGGTTTAAGTGTCAAAGTAAGTGATTGGGTAAGTGACTTGAAAGTTAAAGTTGAATGTATTGGATCAGAAGAAATTCTTACAATTTATCCAATGAAATACACTTTTAAAAATGTATCTATGTAGAAAATAGCACCATAGTCATGCTAATTAATCTAATGAACAACTGATCTACATTAATAAGACTGAAAATATATTTTATGACTTCTGAGTGGTGTTATATAAGCAATGCAGTTGGAAGCATAGGATTGTAATGCATGCTGGGTCACTAGGATATAATAAGCTGCTATTTAATTTCTTTAATTAATTCATACTAATTTTCCTACTTACAAAAATTAAACAGCAAAAGAATAAAAGCCCTTATATTTCATTGCATATTCATCACAGTTGTGATAAGGCAAATGAATGAGCTGTTTTCTCATCTACAGAAGCTTCTCCAGCAATGTGTTGGAACACCATGATCGTGTAACATTTCATGACCTGATGAATGCTGACTCATGCAGTAATCACTGAATAAATACAAACATGAATTTTAAATTACATTTTCCTACATTTTGTCCTCATTACAGTGCATTTGTAGTTCTTCCCTAGAAGAAAGCTGTCAAAGCTTAAAATTTGCAACAGAAACTTTCCAAAGTAATAACAGAATGGAAGTTCACATTTGTGTAATTTTCCAAAGTGCTTGTCTGTATACATTTCAAGCAACTCACATATTCAAAGACTTGGGGGAATATCCATATAAAGGCATTCCATTTGAAATAGTACTTTTCTGCAGTGTAAATATGTGGCCATATTCATTTTCAGTGAAATGTATGGAGCTGTTTGCAACATGAAGAAATTTAAATACAGTACATTTTACCTGTGGATTATAMTTTTGATATTTTAAAATGATTTACTGTTTTATAACAGTAATTTTACTGTGTCTTCTAGATGTGTGGAGGTGATTGCCAGAGAAGGACGGAACCTGAAGGAGCTGTATTTAGTATCCTGTAAGATCACAGACTATGGTATGTAATATACCTATATCTGTATTTTTTGAAGATTGAACCAGAGTTCACAGGGACTTCTATAGAAAGTGTTGGAAATATAGAGATAAAAATTTTCAAAATCTTAATCCATACAAATAGGAAATGTATAAGAAACRTTTGACATAGTTAAAAATATCTGTGGTTAGAAGTATGAAAATACGTATGTGCTGCAACATATCCTAATAGAATCGGCAGTTACTGGGCACACTGGATAAAGGTCCCCTTTAAATAGTCCTGGAGACCAGGAGAGCATTTGCGAGAAAATCAGAAAATATGTATGTGTTTCTAGATGCTGTCAATGGCATAACTAAGCAAGCAAGAATGGATTGATTTCCTATTGTAGGCTATAAAATTTGAATGAGGTTGATGATCCTTTAAGAATGCTGTTATGATGAAATAGAAAGGAGCATCTTAGGAATTAAATGTGCTGTCTGATAGGCGGCCTAGAGAGACAGATTTTGTATTTAGAATAGGTAAACTTCTTAGCACTTGTTTGGAATGGCTACTTTGTTTTGTCTTGTCTTTTTTTTTTTTCAAATAAGGTAGTAACCTTAAATAAGACATTATTTTTGCCAGAAGGCTAGATTCTCAAATGTCTGTCTCCCATTTACGTGCCTAAATTTCAGTAGTATTTACAAACTCTGTATTTGAGATGCTCTTTTCAGGCTTGAATGTTTCTCATTCACTTATTTTTTTTTTAGCTCTATATTCCCTAGCTTTTCATGAAGAATTACTGTGTCAAAGTGATRAATTCCAGTAGTCCATTCCAGTAGTCACAAATACAGTCTTTTTTTATGTTCCTCTTCATATTTTGTGCCTCTGTGGTGTTTGAACTGTGCATTCAGGAGTATGTGGTTCTGCAAGGTTCTGCTTACCTTATGTGCAGCGCTGGAACATGAGCCCACCCTGTAGCTGTTGCAGAACAGACATTGCCAGAGTTGAAAGCAGATCTCCTTAGCTTGATGCCGTTTGGCCAAGGTGAATTTCTGAATTTGTTAAATATCTCGTGTAAGTTCAGGGAGAGGAATTGTGTATAGAACACAAATTATGATAATGAAGATGCTTCTTGTCACTGCTGAAGGGCGGGAGGTGCAGGACAGAGGCTGAAGGCAGACTTGTTCATTCTGTCTGTGTACTACAGACCCACAGCCCCTACTYGTCTCTTGTGACTTTGACAACCCATGTGGAAAGAGTTACCATGGGCATAATGGACCCATGTCTTGAGGATCAGTAATTTCTSAGACTGATTTCACCCTTCATTCACTGCAGTTACTCGGAGAAAGATGTGATTTTTCCCAAAAGCAGGGAAACAACTGAAAATCTAAAGCAAAGAAGCCTAGGATAGGGAAAACCTTGCTTATGAAGGAGTGAAGAGAGAAAAAGTAAGTGTCCATGGCTAGATGAAAAGCAGCAAGTGTGTTTGACAGAATGAGTGGGGAATAAATACAGTATTTGGCTGTTTAGCTCTGCCCAACCCGATCTTCTCTTGACTTCTGTGTGCTAAGGTGTATGTGTCGCCAGTGGGTTGGATTCTTAGGTCACTTAGCATCGTTGTAGTGAGCTACTGGGACTTTGACAATGTTTTCTATTCATAGTGTTGCTACTACGTTTCACTATTTGCTTAAAAATTCAACTGTTCTGTTAGTACGGATCTGTAAGACATCCAGTAAAACAGCTGGGATACGAACTGATTTCTGATACGTTACTGACTAATTGATCAGCATTTGATCTTGTGCATATCTCTCAACATGCCAGCCTGATAAATAAATTCTGCTTTTGATATCTGAGCTGAAAATACAAAACAAACTGTAACAAAGCAGAAGTTATAAACATAATGTATGGTTTCTAAGGAAGTCAAAATTTTGCCTTAGATTAACACTGTGATAGCAAGTGAATGTCAATTACRTTAACAAGGGTGTTGCAAAGTTGAGCCAGGCATCACCCTTTTCTCATTTATTTTCTGGCAATTCGGTTGAAGAGTTTATCWCATTTGTTTTTGTGGCTGGTAAGTTAAAAAGTGAGCCTCTTATAGTGCTGCWAGCTCCGTTTGTTGTTGAGCTTTGTTTATTAAAGAATCTGCCTCTCTTCTCAAGGGGAGAAGCCCAGCCACTGTTCCACAGAGGCTTCTGAAGCCCTCATGTCCTCAGTATCCTTGTGCTTGGTCAGATAGAGGAAATCAGCTGAGAAGCACATGCCTGACTTCTCCTGGGACCTTTTAGGTGAAGTCTCATGGTCTTACAAAGATTTCACCACTTCGCACACACAGTTCAGGCCCCACCAAGGAGTGTCTGAGGCTCTGTGAGGCCATGGCTTGGCAGGCACGCACAGTCCTGTGCAACTCTGCTTTTTTCTTACAGAATCCCAAGGRTGAAACGCAGAATTGTCCTTGCTTTGGCAATTAAACTTGATGCTAGGTTTGTACAGATGCAGGATTTTGAAAGCCCTCTTTGAAAATTTTCAGCTGCAGGTTTTTTATGCTACCAAAGATACCAGGGTTTTGATGTGTGGGACAAGATCATGATTGCTTAGTAACTCAACTAGGAAAAAAATAGTAATGCTCCTAATTTTCTGCAAATTTTTTAATCATTAATTTGTCAATAATAATAATTTTTTTTAAGTAATTACAGTAAAAACTGTTACTGGTGTCCTGTAATTAACCCAATAAGGTATGTATGTAAGAGGTAATTTCGTGTCCTCTAGAGAAGGCTATGAAGTGCAATCTTTGTCATTTTGTTAATTTCCTTCCTTTTTTTGTTTCCAAGTAGAATAGCTAGTATACAAAACTACCAGGCATGCATGTTTGTATCTAATTATTATTTTTAAAGTACACTAAAATACTAAGTTTTATTTGGAAGCTTAAAAGATAAAGTAAAAAACCCTACACCCTAATAATCTAGTCATAGGCTTTCTCTGGCATTTTTCTGACAAATATTTTTAATAGTGTACAGACAGATTAAATTCAAACACAAATTGGAGTACGTGTTCATACAGATAGGTAAAGGGTGAGAAAAAAAMCTCTATGTTACATTACAAAATTAATAATTTTGTATTTTTGTATACACACAGTGTGGTTTGTTTATTTCTGAAAAAAATTATGTTATATCCTTTTTTAGGTTGGTCTAGAAATTTTCTCAAGATGTATTTTTAATTAATGGTGTTTATTAGAGTGTAACATGCTAGTATGCTGACAATCAATTTAAAAGTTTCCTTACATCAAACACATTGTTAAATGCTAAATAATCACTGGGGTTSATCTAGACTGACTGGACATACTGCRTTAGTATAATCTTTGAGATAAAAACCTGTTTGCCCAAGAACACAGAGTAATGTTAAGGCTAAACATTAGTTCCTTGTAGCATTTCGCCCCTTTTGTTAAGCAATCATGAATTAAGTATGGATTGTCACTATTATCTTTGAATTTCCTGCCTTTTGTTGATTTGTGTCACAACCTTAAYTTTACTTAAACATAGCGGGTTTTTTTAATAAGCTTTTCCTAAGAGCTGGTAAGGAAGGGGGACTTTCTCAGCTGTGGGGAGACTGTGTGTCAAAGGAATTAGAGTGATGTGAAGATGAAGAGTGGTGAGCTAGGGCAGCAAGCACACACAGATTTGTGTAACTGTCTCTTCAATTTTATGCTCTAGTTCTGGGTTTTATTGATATCCTTAGTGCTGGGAATTTAAGTAAATTATTACTTACCAAGTTTGTAATGGTGCAGAGTGCTATGCACTCTGAAACACTGAAGTGAGATTTTGTGTTCAAAGATTAAAAGATCTGATGAAACTACCCTATGAAACAGAAGTAGATGTTTTAAGGGTCTGATTTTGCAGTAATGTTAAGTGTATATTTGCTAAGAATTACTTTAAAACTACATTCTTAGCAGTAGTGAGATAAAAGTGTCTAATGCTTTATTTCCACTTTAGCAAAGTAGTCAGGGAGTTTTTGCTTTGTAGGTGCAGAAAACAATTTCAAGGTAGGCTTTTATGTTCACTAATAGAACATTGTGCGGGGCGGGGGGGAACAAACACCACCACTACCAAAAAATAAACCCCTAAAGGGAGTCAAGTTTGAAAAATGTTTAAAAGGAAGTGTTCCAATTCAGCACTTTGTGCAGCTGTGCCTTGAGAAATTACTTGAGAACTTTCTGAAAAAACAAAGTGCCCAAATGGTCATTATTAGGAGTGTGGTTAGTGCAGTTCCAGGAATATATTTAGCTCACAATGTTTCCTGTCAAGTAACCTGCAGAAGGTGACAGTTGTCTTCATAGTTGTCTTGTAGAATTTCCATTACCTAGTAGTTCTGGATTTTGTATCACTTAAAAAGTCTCTATTTCTAGCTGTAAAGTAATTGCACAAAGCTTTTCAGATGAAATGCTTGGCACAAGGACCTGAGATGAAGTGTGGTCTTTTGTTGATAAATTGAAGATTCTGAGTCTTGAAAAGGAGCTCTCTAGATATGTAGCCTTTTTCTTTTCAAAAATTGTGACTATTCCTTTTTCATATTGCCTGTTTTCTTTGTTTAATGATGCATTTAGTGTCTCTGAGGGCACATGATTTTTTTAAAAGGTTTTCCTTCTGTTGAGGGTGTTTGCTAAAGCAAAAAAAGAGTTTCAACAAACTATAATGGAATTATATAGTTTTTATATTAAAATGTTATAGATAGGGCGTAGCTGTTACAAGTAGAAGTCTGGAGGTATAAGATAGCATTTATAGTSAATCAAGTCCAATTGTCACAAGAAAAAACATTACTGTAACTTGCATTTATTCTTCCTAACTGGATTATGAATTGTGGTCTGAGAAGTGAGATACAGTTAACAATGTTAAAATAGTTTCCCAAGATACTATTAAATTCTAATGTTTAAATATTCAGGATACATATGTTTTCTATTTTAAAATAGAATAGTTTAATTATCAAGGGATCGGGTTGTCCTGCTTGCATTTTCTCACCAATATTTAGCATTTATCATGTAAATCATAAAGAGT